ACATTTCTGTTAACTTATCCTTGAATGGAGATCTATCCATGAAAATTTTAATAGAGTAGATTAGTTTCATAAGCCCTTGACTCTCCTTACTGTTCTGTCTTCTCTCTTAAATTTACAACAAGAAGGATGCTTGATACACACAGAACCTATATAATTTCCAGTGTCTAACTAGGTGAGCTTTTTTTGCTCCTGCTATCTCGTTCTCTGGCTGTCAGTAAGAAATTTATTCTAGAGAATCTTATAAGGTTGTCTACTGTTTGACTATATACAGCACATCAAAATCTATACCATCCTGGTATTCTCAGAGCTGCAAAGCATGGTCTTTTCCTGTCTCTGCATTCTAGAATACAATGCTTTATATTTGTCCTCCTTAGGTCTTACTGAATACAAGGAAATTTTAGTTTCTAAACTGATTTAGAAGAAGTATTCATGGGCCAGGTGCAGTGGCTCATGCCTGTAATCACAATAATTTAGGAGGCCGAGGAGGGAGAATCACTTGAGACCAGGAGTTTGAGACCAGCCTGGGCAACACAGAGAGACCCTGTCTCTACAAAAAATGTAAAAAGTAGCTAGGCATGGTGGTGTGTGCTTGTAGTCCTAGCTACTTGGGAGGCTGAGGCGGGAAGATCACTTGAACCCAGGAGTTCAAGGTTACATTGAGCGATGGTCACGCCACTGCATTCCAGCCTGGGCAACAGAGGGACCCTGTCTCAAAAAAAAAAAAAAAAGTATTAATGATACTGAAATGAGGAAATGGTTAGGAAGAAGATAGTGGTGGTGGAATCTTTTTGTAAAGTAGCTAATTTTTAGGTGTGTGCACATTCTGAGTCTCTGGTCTCTGAGGGAGAAGTAGACATTGGTGATAGTTCAGATCCCTTTCCAATTTACTTCTGAATTGTACTTTCTTTCCAAAGGGTAAGGTGTACATAGGGCACTACTTGTGTTTTCCATTCAAGTCCAATCACTACTTTAATTAGAAGAAATTCCTCATAGCCTGGCAAGTGGTTAAATATTATCCTTAATATCCATATGTTTTCATGGATAGTTAAGTACACATGGGAATTAATTAAAATATACATTTAATGTAAAGTGAACTCAAATTATAATTTCCTCAGTTTCCAATTCAATTAATCCTTGCAAGAACAATTTTATTAGATACTTATATTAATGCAAAAATGGAACCAACACTGTAAGAAAACATAAAAACACTTTAGAATTCATCACTCATACACTTTATACCCTGGGATTTGATATTTATCCTAAAAGCCTAATAGTTCATATGCCCATATACAAAAAGATTTTCCTTTTGTCCCTTCCTATAGTTTAGTTCAGTGGGATAATTTTGATATTATGTGGTTTTGCTTTATTGACTTTAAAACTTAATTCTGTATAAGATGTAACTGCTAAATTAGGGAATGACAGCCCTAATTAATACCATATTAATCTAGTAGCCTCTATATTGGTCTGCTTTGTATTGTTTTTATATTTGATTTGACAGATTATGAGGCTGGTGGCTTATAGTCAATGAATAGTTTCTGCAAACAGTACTTTATAATGGTTAGACTTGTGCTCTGAGCTCTGCCTAAGGTCTCTATTTTATTGATTAGATTTTTTGTTTCAAGATAGTTTTGACATCTGAAATTCCTATGTTGGGATATACCCAATTAACATTAACATTCATGAATTAGAGTTTTAAAAATGACTTACATTTATAAAAACAATATGCTCACATTCCTCCAAAGAATATTTCTACCTTTCTGTTTTAAAAGTTACCAAAGTTTTTGGTACCAGAGAAAATTTGCATTTGAAATAAAAAAGGCTAATGTTTCAAATGTTCTTCATTAATATTTTAATATAGTAATACATTTTAGAAAAAGATTGTTTCCTAATATATCTTTAAAAAACAAAGTGCAAACTGAAAAACAGGAAAAATAAAATGGTTTCTGGCTAGGATAAGAAAACACTGCACAAAAACTACTGATATGATGGAAAGAGTTAAATCTGTTTTTGCCAATGAAGAGCCAATAGTCATTATAGAAAATCAAATCCTCGCTAAAGAATTTTTTTAATTCTTCCATAATGCAAAATAAGATAATGTGATGGTGAAATGATGAAAGATAAAGTGCTAGAATGAAGAGGACAGAGAGACAAGTCCAACCAACATATGTATATTAAGATTTCCATGTTATAATATAAATGCTCTAGAAACAAAAGCAGATAATTTGCCACACAGTAAAACTTGCACAGCAAAGCATTTCTACAGGATTGCACAGTTCTAGAAAACTATAGAAGTGGTTTTAGAGTTTCTGTCTCTGGGTGGGGCATCATTTTCTGTTGAGGGCTACTAAATCTCCTCAAGAAAAATATTAAGTATAAAATGCATAGAACACTTAACTTTGAAAAATAAAAAGAAATAAAAAATTCTATACAATTGCTTTGTGTTCCAGTTTTGACTTTGGAAGTTTATTAATTTTTTCATCTATAATAAAAGGAGAATTGTTAGTTTTTATATGATTAAATTAAAGAGTAAGATACCAGTTTCTCTGAATAATTTCTACTGTTACTTACCTATAGATCTAAGAAAATTTAGAGAAGTGTATATATTTAAACTAGAAGAATTAAGCTTTAAATTAAGAACATTTACATTAACATTCTTTGGAAATTTCTCCTGTTCTAGTACCACTCACCACTCCATCCTCTATTAGCATTATTCAAGCAGTACAATTTCTATGATTTGTGATATCTATGTATCTCACTAACTGAAAATAACTAGCCATTATTTAATAAGGCACAGCAATATCAGCTATCTCTACAGAAGTATATTTGGAGAAAATGTTAACATCAGAGGGAGTCTGTTTTAGATTTCCTAATAATACTAAAAATGAAGTCTCAATAAAGTTTTGTATCACTCTGGGTTTTTGACACTATGTCAAAATTAATTATGGTTTTATTTTATGTTTGCAGTACAGTGGTAAACACAGTGAAGGGATGCAGTGAGTGGTAATGGCAGCAAGTGGGGAGGCTCCTTAAAGTAGACCGTCTTGGTGTTGAGTTCAACTCATAGCATGGGTCAGAAGCATAAACATGAATGTGAAATAGCTAATCTCCATCATTTTATTGCAAAGAATATACCTTCTTTCCTCACCAAAGTACACTGCACACAAGATTCGTATTACCATCTCAACACTTAATCAATCTGTAGTTCTTCACTGGAGATAAAGTTCATTTCCTTTAAGTGATGATGCAAGAATTTCACTAAGAAACTTGGTCATAAGAGAACAGGAAGAATTCCCTGCTACATAGTAGATAGTCAAAATGTATTGTATATATACATGGATCTAACTAGATTATCATTCTTTGGCCTGAATCTGGTTTAGGAAGCATGAACATGATTCACAAACTGGAAGAGGAGATCATTAACTGTTTTCATCTCCCCATAAATGTCATATGCCATCAAGACAGATAATCAAAATCTCAGCATTGGATATGAAACATCTAGAATAGGCAAATTCATAGAAACAGAATAGATTAGAGGTTACCAGGACCAGGGGGAAAGGGGAAGGAGAAAGAAGGAGTTACTGCTTAATGGGTACAGAGTTTCTATCTGGGGTGATGAAAAAGTTCAGAAATAGTCGTGATGGTTATACAGCATTGTAAATGTAATTAATACCACTGAATGTACACTTAAAAATGGTTAAAATGGTAAATTTTAAGTTATATATATTTTACCACAATAAATAAAAATTTTGACCATGTCTGATTTATAAATTCTACAAAATTAATTACTAGGAATTATAGTTAATTTTACAGTTTTATTTCCTTCACATGACAGAGTTCACTAGTTCTGTACTTCTGATCACAAATGTGATATAAATATCCAAAGCTGTTCCTTTCTGGAAGAGATTTTGGAAAATTTGAAATATAACTGAAGAAAAACAGAAAAAAAATTAAGACAAATTTCTTACTTTAATGGGCTCAGGCTGCATCACAGGTGCAGGCATAGCAATGGCACTTGGAGCATAAAATTGGTGATATGTTGCTTGAACTCCATGATCAGAATAAGGCTATTAGAAAAATGAGAGGAAAAAAAGATCACCTTTCATTTATTACTTCAA